CCGCGGACTTCATCGATATTCCATTTGCAACGTTCAGCGTCACGTTCCCGAACGCAGACGGTCCTAGAAGGCGAGAAGGATCAGCGCTGTTCGTTGGCACGATCGTGTCGCGGCGAAAGGACCATATTCGAAGCCAGTCCTTTACGAGAAAGTCGTCCAATTTTCCTATAATCCTTGGTAACCCCCTCTACCCCTTAGGGAGCTGACCAAGGCGGGGTCCACGTTGAAAACGAAAACTCTGTTCTATCGTCTTTGCCTTCGGTTTACCGGAATCCCCGGGATTCGGTAATAATACATGAACGGCGCGCGGTGGAAGAAAGACGGGGGAAGAAGGAATTGAAATTTTGATCACCTTCGCCATTTGTATTCCCGGTTTAATGTAAAATGGCTATCTCGAGGAGAGCACTCGCGGTAGACAATGGACTCTCGCGTCGATCGTTGCTCGACGTCGAGGAAATCGTTGCGAATGTATTTTAGAGACTGCATAATCTGTCTGTGTGCCGAAGAATTGACTTTCAAAATCGTTCGATCGCTTCATCCGGATTTTGCGTGCAATTGAAAGGCGTGCTCGCGAGCGTGTTTGAATTTCTTTGAGTCGAAATTCCACAGCTGCATCCAGTGCACCAGATAAATGGCGTGTAACGCAAAATCATCGATGTTTCAATTTCTTTAATTTTGTTTCGCTAAATAAAAATCGAAATGGCAAAATGTGCGAAAGAAGGCAGCTCGAGAGTAATGAAGATACAAATTTTTGATAGCAACAAGCAAGGATAGACGTAAATCGTATCACAGCGAACAAACAAGGAAATCACTGGGGGGTTGAGGAAGTATAAGTGCAGGGAGGCTATGGAAGATGTAAACGAAGCAGAACGCCTCGATGCACGTGATTCGAGGGGGAGATTGTGATAGTATAAACATATACAGTGTTCTCCAATACGCGTTTCAGTATCGATTGTGACGTTCAAAATTACGACCCTTTTTGAGATGAGTGTCGTCTACCTACGATACGTGTAGCACTTCCTTTTTTTTCTTGTTCAAAGGTACCAAAGATGCATTTAAATATCTAGTACAAAGGTCGTTATCTGCTACTAATGGACGAGATTAAAATAATTATCGGGTAAAAGGATTTTAATTTTTATGAATATTACCACACTCTCGAGTCAGGCGACTTTTCAATTAGAATTTAAGCATTCAGTTTCAAAAATCGGTTCTTCGAGCTTCTTTCTTCCCATGTTCCGAAATATATCGATCGTGTTACGGGAAATAATTCGTAGGAACTGGCAGAACTCGCGAAGCGCGAAGATTCAACCGACCTTGTACAAGATTTAAGAAGAACGCGTAGCGCGCAACCCCTATTTCATCTCTTTGTCGATCGTTAAAGGTCCGCTCGTAGATCGTTACACCGAAAACGGGAATCACATTACCACATATCAATTCTCGACTTTGCAACCGTTACATATACGCGCGCGCATCTATTATGCATGTGCATATCCGCGCAGTAGTGTGTTGGGGGATGTGTATTGTCGAAGCGAAATTTACGTCGTGCGGGGGCGAGGGCCACGCTGAAATATCATCGGCTCGTTTCAAGCACGGTTTTGCATATTCAGGGACGAGCAGAGAAGAGGGTCGGAACGAGTGAAAGAAAAGAGACGGGAACTGAGAGTCATGGCGGGTCAATTTGTTAGAAACGCAGACACAATACTAAACAAATAACCTCAAAGAACAATTGAAAATAAAAGAACGAAGATCTGCCAGAACGTTGACAGAAAAAATTAGAGGAGAACAGTTAAACGTAGGAGATACAATTCCTTTCGGTAATTATTTTCCATGTTATCGGCTGCATCGATTACCGATAACGTCAAAGTATGTCGGGAGGGAAAAGGTTGCTGGTTATTCCGAGCCCGCGATTAACCTTTAAACTTAGCTCGCGGAACGATTGTTTTGCCTCGAAACCACGCGTTGCGCTCGTTGCGTAATTAAACTTCCCGTCGAAATTTATTTCATTCGCGAGAATAAGTTCTAGCGTTTTCGGATATTGCCGCAGCTCGTGGCGAACGAAGAGAATGAATTATTATTCGCCGCGGAACGGTTTCCCGACTTCAGTGCACGGGCGTCACGTAAGGAAAACGTAGACGACGACCGCGCGGGCAGGCATCACGTAATGTCTTCGTGTACGTGGTTGTATCTAAACTCGCAAGCCGAAATTACTTGTTATTGTACGTCTTCTTGCCGGGGGGGGACGTGAGGACGAGCGTGCACCAGCTACGTGATTAGTCGACGTCCAGGCATGTATTTAAAAGCGATATCTCGTTACGGACAGTTTCCCACGGACAATCGGAAAATGTTCCTCGAATTTCGACCAATTTTTAGCCACGTGAAACTTGTAATTCAAAGGTTCATCCTAGAAAAAGGAAAACTTTCTACTTAGAGAAAAGCAGATGTTTCCTTTTGGTTGGTCAATAGTAATTTTTAAGGTAAAGAGTGAAACTCGAATAAAATATACAGTATATAACAATTTTGTTGAATAAAAGTAAAGAAGTGAAGATCAGAAAAAGCAGAACAGTATAAAAAGGTATCACAATTTCGTCGACACTCTGCATAAAAGAAACGAGCTTGAAATGAAAACAGTAAACGAGAAATGCGTAGAAAAATGGCTGGCGAAATTGAAATAAAATATATTGCCCGACGTGAATGCATGTTTGATGGTCAGATAAATTCGTTTTTCCGTTAATGAATATTTTATCGGAATGTTTTGTGTGTTTTTTTTTGTTGTTGTTGCGTACACGTCGTGGCTCGTGTGCATTTTTCCTTCAATTTCGGGCCGCGAGTCCGATAGCCTGAATAAATTTCTGTCCGAACGAGATGCGGGGCTCGATAATTAATAAAACATAATTCATCCGTGAAAATGCGATACCGGAAACGCAGAGGAGCGCGAGAAGTCAATAATAAAATTTTCGGGGGAAAATTGTTTCCGCGAGTACCGAGAGCGTTCCGCGAAGCATTTATGTTTGCACTCGCAGTTCTATGAAACGGTAATATAAATATGATTTGCATGGTTTCTGTAGATTGATTGCTCGATATTATTTGTGCAGCTTCATGAAACTGCTATCTCGGAACGTTACTTGCATTGTTTTGCCTGGAGGTTGTTGTATATTATTTTTTACAATATTCGGTTTTATTATATTTGTTTAAAATCTCTATGAACGTTTCAAATTTCAGAAATCTCCTGAATCGACAAGTCAATTTCAGAATATCGAACGAACTTACGAGACGACCTAATATTATTTTCGAAAATGGTTTGTTTTTAGTAAGCACCATGACTCACTGTCAAAGTCTCAGTTATATCCACCACATGGTTTCATTTTTATTGTCGATCGAAGCGAGAAACTTCCTCTTGCATCGAGCCAATGCACGGGTGCACACCTGTGCAGTTTCGATGGCCAAAATCATGGAATCAAAGTTCGAATTATTACAACATCCACGCGTATTCACCAGATTTGGGCCCCAGTGACTTTTTTTTATTTCCAAACTTAAAAAAATGGCTCGATTCACGTCGAACGAGGAGGTCACCGCCTATTTTGAGGACCTTCCGAAATCTTACTTTTCAGACGGCTTAAAAAAGTATAGAGCTAAAAGGAGATCACGTTGAACTATAACAAAGAAATCTACCTAAAATAATTTGCTTTTCTATCTTTTTCTAAGGACTTATTGACCGGTCCTCGTATTACTTTCTTTTAACGAAACTTCTACGGATTCTTTTTTTACTGACAAAGGTGGCGTAACCCCTTGAAAGAATATTTCGAAATCCCCCGTATTTAATTTCGTGCAGCCGGAACGCCGGACGCTTCGAAATTCGATTTCGTCCGCGTATCAACGATGCGTCGCGTCTCTTCTCTTTTCCGCGGCGCTCGTTAATCTGTAAATTTGAATACCGTCGACTCGCGGCTCGATCAGAAATTCAGTACGACCGTAAAACGCCCGGCCAGGGGTTCGAAAAATATTTTCGCTCTAATCCGCCCCCCTCTGTTTCTCTGTCTACGGTTCGCGTACCACTTCCTCCCCCTCCCCCCCTCCCTCCCTCACCATGGACGTTTCTTTTACCCCGTGTGTCGTTCATGAATATGGAAAATTAGACCTTTCGGGTGGCGCGATCTCCTTTTTTCTATTTTTTTTTTTTTTTTTTTTCCCCCTCCCTCTGGACTCGCGCTGTTCGCAAATTGATTCCGCGCAAGCGGGTGCCCCGGCTCTCTCGCGACGCGTCGATGTTGATTCAAAGGGAGAAAGATTGGTTTCCCGGTGCGCTCTCGGACGAAAATTGAAATTTACGGCTCGCCGGGAAGTGGCGAAAGAATGGATTCCACGCGACGATCGTGCGGTTTAGCTTGTCGTTAAAGTAAGACCTCGCGTCGTACGCGATTCCGCGCGAAATTCAAATTTCTCCACTTTCCGTCCCACGGTGCTCCATTTACTGTCGGCTGTCCTTCGAATTTCGAATTACCGACCTGTTGGAACCATTCACCCGTCGCCAGGCATCTCGAACGTTTATTTTTCAGCATCGGTTCTTTGTTCCAGTTACGTATCTGTTTCAATCGTGAACCATAATTTCTTTATAATAGAATACAATGTAAGATAAAAGGGAAATGAATTAAAATCGTTTTTGTATTACCTTTGCACATAAATTCATCAAATGTTTTTATGTAGTGTAACTTTTATACAAACCATATGCAATGTAGTGTTTTTGGTTTATGTCCAGCTAGATACACAAGTACGAATTCAATTGTTCAGTCGCTCTGGCTAAGTTTGAATAGGAAAATAAGATTTAAAATGGTTCTTCCGTACTCGGGAGCAGTTACTTTCGGTATGGTCGTAATACCGTGGAAGGGAGAGGATTAATTTAAAAATGTATGTCCTTGGATAACTAATCTAAGACCCAGAGGGAAAGTAGGGCCAGTTGGAACGAGAACCACTTCAACGGCCGATCAAGATCGCTCTCTACTCACCCAGTTCTGACGAAGTTAGCAAAGTACTGCACGATGTTCTCCGAGAGTGTCACTTCAGACCTGGTATAGTTCCTCGGGAAGTGGCCCAGACCATCCACCAACGGCGCCCCGAAAATGAAAGGCAACTCCTCACCGTGAACCGAACCCATTTTCTGAAACCAGCAACCATTAGCAACGTTAATCAGTCTCGAATAAAATTTTAATTTCCTTCGCTTTTTACAAATCGATGTCGATAACGAAAACGTGTCGTTTAGACACTCGAAACCTTATTTAAGATTAAAATGTGTCCAACGTTTCGATCGCGTGCACGTTAAGAATTACAATGCTTCCTCGATGTTCCACCAGAGTCTATGGGGACTCTATTTTATATAGTCAAATAGTGTGATCGAAAGTGTCGAAAGAGTATAATTATGTACATCCTTTCTCGATAGGAGCAGCGAAGATTGTTATCGTTATTAAAAAAAGCGCCGACGCTAACACGTATTATGAAAATTTTCTCATTATTAAATTCATTAGGACTGCCTGTTAACGCGACGCTTAGCAGCCCTGGGAATTTACGGTCTCGGGGCGGATTTCACTGCAGCCTCGATCACGATGGACACGTCAGGTGCGCGTAATTTAATTTCATCGGGCTTCGAGCCCTTTCGGCCGAAATTACCGCGTCCCCGGACCCAACTCGCCATTACAAGATGAAATGTCCGGTGTCGTGTAATATCTGCCGGGGAACGGCACGTGCGACGTTTCAAGTTTCTTGAGCCAGAGCTTGCTTCGTTCGGCGTGTCCCGTTGTCTCGAGCGGATTTCAGTCCTCGTCGAGAACAATATCGGCTCGAAGAGCACGAGACGAATCACAGAACACTACGCTTAGCTGACGCGAGACTACGCAGCTGGCTCGTCGAACCGAACCTTGCATCGACACGTATGTCAATTGCCCGTAGTTTCGTATATTCGTTCGATTCCTCGATGCTTCGAAAAATTCTTGAAGCATTATCCCTTTCGAGAAAACTCGGAAACAATTTTCTATGATAAACTTGACGGAAATTTTCTGGCGAAAAAAAATTTCTCAAATCATTCTGGAAAAATTATTTTTAGTTGCAGGGGTCAATTACGATCATTTATGGTGAATAGACATACCCCCGAAATCCTACGCACTTTCGAGAAAAAAATTCCTTACCGAAATGTCTGACCATATTACAGATATGTTTCCCTGAATTTTTAGGGCGAAAAAAAATTTTTTCAAATCGTTCTAAAAAAATTATTCTCAGTTCCAGGGGTCAATTACAATCATTTTTGGTGAATAGACATACCCCCGAAATCCTACCCACTTTCTAGAAAAAAATTCGAGAAGGTGTGAAATTTTTCGACAAAATTAAAATATTTCAAATCATTCTAAAAAAATTATTTTTGGTTGCGGGGGTCAATTACAGTCATTTTCGGTGAATAGACATACCCCCGAAATCCTACGCACTTTTGAGAAAAAAATTCCTTATTGAAAATATACTGTCTGACCATACCATCGATATGTTTCCCTGAAATTTCATGCGTATCTTTAAAATATCATAACTTTTGAACGGATTGGAGGATTTTAATGTTTAAAAAAGCAAACGACGCGTATTTTTATGGAGAATATGTAGAAATTACAAAAATATTTGAAAAATTGTTCCTTGACCCCGTAAAGTGAGGAAACCCCCATAAAAGTGGTTCAATTTTCGAAGAGCCATAATTCCTATAATAGTGAATATATTTTCTCCACCATTCGTTGCTCTAATTAAAGGATTGCCCGTCTACGGCCAGCGAATTCTTCTTTCTTCGCAATTTCCGATAACTATCGCAAGGAATAAGTTTCTCTGCAGTTTGATTAATATCGTTGAAAAAGAGGAATTTCTCTGCAATTAATTTCTTGGATCATCGACACGGTGTCGAGGAAAAGGTGGAATTTTCGAAGAAGCTGAATTACGCGAATGGCAAGTAATTACCGGTACAGGTCCTGTTACGTTCCTTGGAACCTTTGTTCATTGTTGTCCTTAAATCGCTTGTTCCTACCAGTGATTAACGAATAGCATAGATCGTTGGTCGTGGCGAATTTCTTTCTTAATGACGTCAATTTCCCGCAGCTTCGAGTCTTTCATTGCAGCCATTAATCCGCGAAATTGTCCGAAATTCTTGGATCTTTGCTTCTCGTAGTTCCAAAAAATCCCCTTCGAAACACGCTTGGTTGCTTTACTTTCCCTCCGATTATTTTATACCCTATTTAATTACATGTAGAATGTATTCGGTAACTGCACATCGCGTCAACAGTAATTATTTATTTCACGCGAAAAAGACCACGGCTTTTTCTAGAAAAATATAATCTTCTCAAGCTTTGATGTAGGTGATCCGAGTTAAATCGAAATCCTGCTTCGTTTCGAGTGTCGCATTTCTCTCGAATCACAAAGGGGCGGAAAAATTGCCACTCGACGTACTCCATACGCGTCTGTAGGATTCTGAATCTTGTCTGCGACTGGAATGTCGTTTTATTAATTTAAAGTACGTCTCCACGCCCTGTGCCATCGTTACTTCATTTTTACAGCTGTCATTTTCTCCATTCACTTGATTCTCAATTCATACACGTTGCGAACATTTCTGAATCTACCCAGTAATATACTCTAGTAATTTTTACGAATTAAGTGTAAGTTGCCTCTTTAAAGTGCAAATTAAATTATTTTGGAGGTCCATATATTCAAATTGAAATTTTAAATTTATCAAAAGATCATTTATTCGCTGACTGAACGTCGTCCAAAAGTTACGTTCCAATTATGGAAGTGAATTATTACGTTGCAACACATTTTATATGTACAAAAAACGTGGATTCTAATTGGACTTTTATGTATTGTTTGTTTTGCCCCACAATCTCCCGCTTTGCACCAAAATGATTGAAATATCCATTTTAACGATTTTATTTAGCTTTTGTTCGACTACATATATTCGGAAATCCGGGAAAAATAACAGCCATCAAATATTTTCGCGATAGTATTATACAGCTACATTATTTATCGCGTGTGTTTTCAACTGGTTGCTCAGATTTTTCGAAATCAAATGAACATTTTCAACTTTAAAGCGTGACAATATATTATCAAATATTGTACTTGTTGTCCGATCGTAGCATATTTCTTCCTTCCAGCTGTTTTTATTTCATATCAACGATTCTAGACGCGACAGTAACGATTCTCTCCGGAAATACTTCTAGCAACCAGAAATCTGACGAAACAATTTTTATTTCAGACAATAAATTTTAGACACTCGGAAGATTAAACTTCTGTATTCCTGTAATATTCGTAGCAAACGGCTTATGATTATTAGAACGAATGGCAGAATCGCGAGGGGGGTGCGAAACGGGGAAGATTAAGTTCTCCTTTTCTCGAAGAAAATTACTGTTCCGTCAGTGGCTAAGTTTATATCCCGGGAAGAGGTCCGTGGCTGTTAGAAAATAGTGCCTCGGCTAAATGGAGTTCGGGGGGAAGAAGGGAACGAGGAAGACAGAGGTCACAGTTTCTGGTTTGTAAGAATCGGTTGGCGTTTCGGTCACGGACGGTTTCGCGAACACAGTCTCGAACTTTTTCGAGCGGGTTCAACGTCCCCCGATGAAGCTTCCCCCCCCCGGTAAATACTTTGACGCGCGATCCGTGTAAAAGTTCCCGGACAGATACGGGTTTCCTGATTGCGATAAAGTAAATAAGTAGCGAGAAAGAAATTACTTTATACTATTAGGTGGTCGGCGGAAACAAGTTGCCGCGTTTTTGTTCGACCTGGCGGCAGTTCCGCGGAAGTTTTACGCGGCGGAAAACGCGCGGGGAACTTTCTCCGTGGGCGCACTTTACGATCCACGCCCTTTTTTGCAAGATTACAGGTATAAACAAACGGGAGCGCAGAACCCCTGCACACCGATACGAACTAATCGCAAGAAACGCAAAACTGTTCCTCCGCCCATCTTTTTCTTCAGACTTTCCACTCCCCGGTACTTTCGAATCTTTCCCAGCGAGACGAGGTCGATAGGTGCAGCGGCGGGAACGTGGAATTTTGAATAAATTGCGAAATTTAGCGGCTCGTTTAACTTTTCGAAGAATGCTCTCGAAAAATTGCATAGATAAATTCTCGAACTTTGGAGCTTCGTAAAGGGTTGCATCTAACCCTGATATAATTCGTATCTTACTTTAAATATTCCTTATAAGTATCAGAACCGATTAATAAATGAAACTAGTGTGTTCAATTAAAAATGTGATCCGGTTTAAGCGACCGAATGTTGTTCGATTTCGTTGAAATATCGAACGTCGTGGCATTGTTCCGTGATCGATAAACATTGTCATCGGTTTTTCGGAATCTTCGTCTGTTCGGTATCTCCAAAGAAAGTGGACTGCGCGACCGGCAAAATAAACAACCACCTGTCTGAGCAACGAGCAAGATAATAGACCGCGGAAGAAAGCGCATCGATCACGTTCCCTCGAATTGTTTCAGCCCGCAAGCGTGCGCCGATATGCTTTCAAATGGAATTAACGGGATCAAGAACAGCCGTGCATTCTCCGTTAACCGTGCTGCTCGACAGTGACAGAAACCAGTTGGCGAAACAACTTTGATAAAGCTCTGCGGCGACCGCGACAGTGACGAATACTCGGCGCTGGTTCGCCTTGTCGGATCGTATTTTGAATTCGGTTACCTGCATTTCTCTCAGTTCACCCAACTTCCCTTCTTCGGAGAAGTTCGATACGTAATTCGACGTGTTGTGACTAGTCCCTGTGAACGGATTCAACGAATATTCTTCAGCTTTGGTTATACAAACTCGCCCCTAAATTATTCAATTTCACTTAAAAGGATATTCCTTCTATTTTTACAAAGAAAGTATAAGGTTCTTGGTTTTGATGTTTATTTGTTTTACGAGCTTGTTTACAGGGTATATAGAATGTATGTATAAATGTAATATCAATTTCTTGATTGAGGCTTTGTTAAAAAGTTATTAAAAAATTTCAAATCGTTCTGGAAAAATTATGATTAGTTGCGGGGGTCAATTACAGTCATTTTTGGTGAATAGACATACCCCCGAAATCCAACGCAGTTTCGAGAAAAAAATTCCTTACCGAAATGTCTGACTATAGCGTTGATATGTTCCCCTGAAATTTTAG